GTCATCTTCAGGGTCGGGGAGAAGGACTGGAAGAATTCCACACCCTCTCATTGATTGAAGCCTCTAGCCACGTAACGCGCCTTGAACTTCAGTGGCTCCCCCGGTGTGTGTCTCACCCTGTAGATCCACATGCCTTCGACCACGTTCGCTCTAGGCGGAGGAACTGCGTTGACGTAAGTACCTGTGGATCTGTAGGATGCCATCTCTGCCTCCATGGCCTGAATCCCCTGGGCTACCCAGGGTCCCGACACCGCCTCAGTGTAAGAGCGCGGGATCGGGATGTCAAGGGTGTTTGGGTCGCCCTCTGGGGACACAAGCATGGTGCAGAGATGGGGCACAGTGGTAGCAAGGTATGCCAGCTCGTATTGCATGTCCTCTAGGACGTCACTACCTAGGGCAGGTGCAACCCCGATGGACAGAGAACTGGCAGTACTAGAGACCAGAGCGGTAGCGTAGTCCAAGCGATGGCTAGCACTGAAGTCAGTGACAACAGCAACAAGCGCAAAGACAGAATCAAGAGGAGCGGTAGGGTCAGCGACGAGCAACGCAAACAAGCGTGAAAGGTCTGGCCGAGCACTGCGGGTGGCAGTAGCTGTGGTAGTGGCTGCAGCAGGGGCAGCTGCAGTGGCAGCGAGCGGCAGTAGCGGCAGTAGGTGGCAGCGGGCAGCAGCGGTTGGCAGTGGCTGCGGCAGGGGCTGCATCAATGGCAGCTGCAGTGGCAGCAGGGAGCAGTAGGCGGTAGAGGGCGGCAGCTGCTGCCGGGACTGTGGCAGTGCAGCAGGCGGCGGTGAGCGGTAGTTGGCGGCAGTCGCTGCAGCAATGGCAGCTGGAATGGTAGTGGCAGCGGCAGTAGTGGGCGGCAGCGCGTGGTGGCGGGTGGCAGTGGGCAGCAGTGCGCGGTAGGTGGCAGCTGGCGGCTAGCGGTGGCTACTGGCAGCGTGCCGCTAGCGGCTGGCGCCTGGTGCTGGCTGTTGGCAACGCGCTGCTGGCGGCTGGCGGCTGGTGCTGGCTGTTGGCTGCAGGTGCTGGCGGCGAGCAGTTGGCGGTGGTCGCGCTGGCTGTTGGTAGCGTGCTGCTGGCGCTGGCTAGCTGGTGTTGGGTGGCTGGCGCTGGCACAGACTGGCACGGACTAGCTGGTGGGGGCGCTGGCTAGCGCTGGGTGACGGTGGCTGGTTTTGGCTGGCGTTAGCAGGCTAGTTGGCGCTGGTCGGCTGGCTCTGGCACTGGTGTTGGCGAGCTAGCGAGCTGGTTGGCGCTGGCTACAATACGTGGGCTAGCTCTGGCGAGCTGACGAGTTGGCTGGCACTGGCGAGTTGGCGAGCTGGCTGGCACTAGCTACACTGCGCTGGTTGGCCCCGGCGCTGGCACGAGCTGGCCAGCTGGCTCGGGTTGGCGCTGGTCGTCGACTAGCGTGAGCGGGCTGTGGAAGGGAGGGGCCAGCAACGAACTAGTGGGGGAGGATGGAGGGGACTCTGGCGACTAACGAAGGTGCCGGGTGGCGGCGTCTGGCGCTGGCTGGCGGCGGCTGGCGCTGGCTGGCAGCGACTGGCACTGGCTGGTGCGAGCTGGCCGCGGGTGGCGCTAACTGGCACGAGCTGCTCAGCGAGCAGGGGAGAGCGGGGAGGCGACTAACGATGAGGCGTGCAGCTAGGGGCAAGGCGCCCTAGGCTTGAGGGAGATACAACTACAAGGTGCTGTACTCTCTAAGAGCTGACATGGCTAGGTTATAACAAACATATATAATCTAACTATATATAAATATATGTTTGTTGACAGAGAAGAGCAATGATCATTAACCACTGATTCAAGCAACTCAACTGTCTCTCAAAGTCCAAGATCCCGAGTCCCATTTATCTGGTGAAATCCGTCTGATGGTCTGAAAAACAGACCGGGTGAAGAGTTTGATCTAATTCTTTACGGTTAGAGACATTTTGTCTGACCGTTAAAACCCGCGGCCCAAATAGTTCAAACGCATTGTATGATTGAGCCTGGGGCTGTACAAAATACCCTGGAAAATTGCGACTGTGTTTCATCTCGCGATTCGGAAGTTGGTCATGGATCGTCAGATTCACAAACGCGTAGTTTGACGGATTAGAATCCGAAAGACTGGGGGAAAAACTTGGATTGCTTGCCATAAAAAGGAAATCTTCAATTAGTGGACCGAAAAAAATAACGCTCAGCACCTGGTGTTCCAAAATACCGTCTGCACTAATGCAAGGCATCCCTGAGTGCTTAGAGTCACGTTACCCCCTCGAATTTGCAACTTTCAAATGCATTGCGTTTGATGGCTGCGTCTCGCAATTTGGGCCTTGGGTTTAAGACATGGTATAATTTTCCGTCTGAATTTTAAGACTCGGTGTATAGTCGAAGAATCCAAATAGCGCAGATTTTTCTGTGTGAGACATTCCTCCCACGATCCCCCTCACAACCACAGGTTTTCGGCCAAGTCCCCGACTGCCACATACATTCCCAAACCCCCCTTGCTGATTTTCAGCTAAGCCCCTTACACCAGAGGCACTTCTCCCCACACATCTAGCAACCCAATTTTTTTGCTAAGTCTCCCACACCAGAGACATTCCTCCCCACACCCCTCTCAACAAAAAATAAAATCGGTCCCAAACTACAAGAGACATTCCTCTCAGACCCCTAGCCTCACAACCCACAAAATTTGTCTGATGTGCCTCCCACCCACTCTCTCCTTGCAGCCTTGGATTTTGAAGAGCACCTTTTGGGAATTTTTTTTTTCAACTAGGCTTGGCACAAAAATTGCTCTGTTAAACATGGGTTGGCTTTGCGTGGCAACTCTGGCTCACCCTGCAATTTCCGCCCTGCTTTACTGGGTGGAGGGCGGGTTGCGAACTCTGAAATGGCAGGGTGGCTTGAAATGAAACGAGGGGGTCCCTGCAAATTACATGTCACTCTGCCCATGAGATCGAAGCTCTTGGCCATAGGTTAGAAGAAGTGCGTCCTTGTCAATAATTGAGGCGTTAATTGAGTTGTTGAGAGCTTCTTCCGAGGGATAACCTAACTGCTTGTGCCACATTTCTGCTATATATCTGTGTTCTTTTGAATGTAGCTACAAGTCGGAGGGAAGGAAGAAGGCTGGCGAGAAGTGAATCGCTAGCGCAGACGCAGCTACCAGTGCGGATAGCCAGGATGAACCTGGCTTCTTCTGCAGTTTCAGCCTAAGGCATATTGAGGTGTCGACGACACGCCCAAGAATCAGGTACAATCAATTATTTCTTTCTTAGTGTAGCTGAAGTAGGTTCTTGATTAGCAAAACCCTATCTGGCATCTCCAGATGCCCAAGTTGCTTGACCTGTTTCTGGTGCTATTGATGCTACTTCTGTTGTCTTGGCTGTAGGTTTGGCAGGGGAGACTGTACTAGAAGGCTGAGTCTACGGTGATCTTGGAGTTGGCAATCATTCTCAAAGCAATTATGCCAAGGGGCGAGTGACAAAGTCTTCTCTGTCACTGGTGGAAGATTCAGGCGAGAAACGTGGAATCGAGATGCCATCCTTAATCTATGTGATGCCGATTAAATTACTCTTGTCTTCTTTCTTGTCTCTAGGGTACAACTTCGTAAGCATCGTGCTGGTGGTGCTGACAAAACGAATGCCGCTCTGCGTTAGCTGGGCTTGCGATAGAAGTTTGAAGCCGAGATCTGTAATGATGAGAACCTTGTTTAGGTGAAGTGAAACTCTCTTGTCATCGGATTCTAGCAGAACGTCTACAATTGTTGCTGCTTGCATTGTCTGATTGTTAGCCACTCTTATTGTATGTTGGTCTTCTCTTTTTAGATCTTGCCAGTTGAGAAGAGACGAACTTCTTGACGCCATGTGAAGTCTGCAGCAGCTGCCAAGAAACCACGTGTTGACATGCTCAGGATAAGCTCGCTTGGCGATGCGAGTGTAGGGCTGCACATTCAATTGTCGAGAAATAGCCGCGGGCTGTTCTATTTCTTCTTCATTGATTGCTGCGGATTCTGAAATTTCAGGACAAGGACGAAGATGTGGAGGTAACTCCTCTGGTTCTTCTTCAATGTCGCTGTCTTTGTCTCCATTAAGTCGTCGTCTCCAGTAGCGCACCACTAGACCAATGACGTCCAATCATGCAGTTGATACTCACTTTGCCTTTTGCAGGTTGAGTTGAAGGAGCTGAAGGCAGCGAGACTGTCTTTACTGGGGCAGCTTCATCCGACTTCTCCCGATTCTTGTTCTTCAGTTTCTGACACTCTTCAATATAATGACCTGCTCGTTTGCAGAATTCGCAGAAGCCCTTTCCTTTTCTTGGCTGATCCCATTGACTTGATCCACCTCTTGTCTACTCCCATTGACTTGGTCCACCTGTATAGAAGCTTAACCCACTTTTGGCCTTGCCTCCTCTTGCATTATACTGGTCCAAGTCCTGCTGCTCTGCCATCAGAGTAGCACAAAGAGAAGTTTCCGAGATGTTCCTTTGGGACCGAAGAAAGGACTTGCACTGCCTCCATTTGGGCTCAGCACCTGCTAAATCGATAGTGACAAATGGCTCATTGTTGAGGTTTCCTCCGCATTTACCGAGCTAGTCCCAAAGATTTCTGCATCTGTTGATGTAACTGCTGATTTTTTTCTCTCGAAGGCATTTGAGTTGCTGTAAGTTGAGTTAACAACTTGCTCTATGATACGGAATCTTGTGCTTGATACAACTTGTGTAGGTTATCCCAGGGATAGAAGGCTAGAACAATTGAAGGTTTGAAGCACCGTACTCCCAAATGTTCTTCAGGTGAGAGATTCCGTACCAGCAACATCTAGGCCATTCGCGAATACTTCGAATAATGCGCTTGCTCTTCGGCTGTTCCTATTTCAGGAAAATGGCTTGTACCGTCGAAGTATGCTCAGATACCAAAAGATTGCATGAGTTTAAATTCGAATCCCCAAGCATAGAAGTCACGACCGCCAAAGTGAGTGAGGTTTTCAGCTTGGAAATGTAAAAAAAAATCCTTGATTGACAACAGCTGGTGTAATGAACGGTCTTTCTTCTACCGTTGGGTACTGAAACGGCTGTTGTTGTTGTTGTTGTTGTTGTTGTTGTTGTTGTTGTTGTTGTTGTTGTTGTTGTTGTTGTTGTTGTTGTTGTTGTTGTTGTTGTTGTTGTTGTTGTTGTTGTTGTTGTTGTTGTTGTTGTTGTTGTTGTTGTTGTTGTTGTTGTTGTTGTTGTTGTTGTTGTTGTTGTTGTTGTTGTTGTTGTTGTTGTTGTTGTATAGGTCATCCATAGAAGGAAAAAGACATAGCGGATTCATCTCCAGTGCTAAAGATCCAACTGCAGCAGCAGCTCTTGCATAACTCGAGTTATTGTTGGTGCAACCCTATGGCTTGCACTCGGCTTGTCGTCCTTGTTTGTGTGTGTGCATGCATGGCACGGAATGAATTGTGAGTCTATGTCATTGCTATCCAGTTTTTGTGTGTGTGTTTGAATGGTGTGTCACTATGTGGTTTGTGTCGGTCAAGACATTAGCGAGCTTCTACAACTCGCATGTCAAGTCGTCGTTTGTGTGTCGCATGTGTTTTTTCTATTTTGTCGAGTGTGAAGTGTCCATCGTGTCGCAGGTGTGTGCAGCAAGCCCCCATCAACTCAAGAAGAATTTATCTTGCATATCCAAGAACAAGAGCTCAAGATTTCAAGCCCAAGGAACGCGGATAAATATTAAATAGTGAAAATAGTAACGTTACTTCGTGTAGTGTTACATTTCACTTGGTGTAGCCCCTTGGAGGGTTGGTTTCGAGACTCTTCATGGTTGGGGACTCTGTGGTGGTGTACCACCAACCTGGACCTCGGCTCTTGGGGTATGTAGAGGCTGGGAACCATCTCCCTCTCAAATTCTTCTTCCTAAGTTTTTTGTACTCCTAAGACTATAGTGGCTGCTGTACCTCCTGCCAGTCAAACCGCCATAGCGTCGTCAATTCTTCATGGAATTTCATGATTCAACTTGCTGCTGATAGGCGACAGCATCCTGCTCCATATCCAATTTACAAATCACCGTTTGAGGAAGAGAGCAGATCGTTATCAATATTTGAAGCCGTCTGACGGAAATCCGACTGTGCTCTCTATCTCTCATTATAGGCACATCTGAGCCTATTGTGATAATAACAAGTGGTATCAGAGCCCCTTGGAGCCGTCTCGACCATGCCTAGACCTGAGGAAGGGGGTGGCAGAGGTGCTGGAGGCAGAGAAGACGCCCAAGCACAAGGTCAACACAAAGATCCACCCGTTGCTCCGATGCAACCTAGCCTTGGACCCTCTAGGGATGAGCCTAGAGTGTTTGGCCTTGACAAGTTCAACGGTGACAACTTTGCTGAGTGGTCCTTCAAGATGGAGAACATCTTTGACCACTATGATCTGCTGGAGGTGATGGAAGGAACAGAGAAGCGCCCCGAGAATGACCCGGAGAAGAGCCCGTGGGTGCGGAAGAGCGCACAAGGCTACCTTCTACTTGGGCAAGCGTTGGGGAGCAGCCAAATCCGTCACATCAAGCCTTTTCAGCGTGAACCAGCAAAGGGACCAAAGGCATGGGCTGCTCTCAAGGGTGTACACGCTCCTGCAACAGCGGCGGTGGCTGTGGTTTTGGAGCGGCAAATGGCGGCACTTCGAATTGACGAAGGCGAACCGGTGGAGGAAGGAGTGCAGAAATTCTTCGACTTATTGACACGGCTCGAAGGAGCTGACCTGAACTACAGTGACCTTCAAAAGAAGACCAAGCTGCTAGCCTTACTTCCGGACTCGTGGTCCTCGCTCATCATCAACCTTAATCGAGATCTGCCCCGTCTCTCACTCGAAGATGTGAAGCGGGAAATCTTACAAGAAGATTTCCGCCGTCGCGAATTGGCGAGTCCCGATGGTGCCGGAGTTGCAAGCATGGGCCGTGGGCACGGCCGTGGAAGGGGCAGAGGGCGAGGAGGAAGATTTGGCAGCAGTAACTTCAGTGGAGGCCGTGGTAATGGAGGATATGGCAGCAACAACAACAATGGCTATGGGCGTGGGCGCGGTCGATTTGATGGCGAATGCCACTTTTGTCACAAGACCGGCCACATGTGGAGAGATTGCTTCAGATTGCCTGATGGATGGACCCCTTCTCAAGGCCAAAAGGGCAGAGGAGCAAGGGGAGGAAGAGGCAGAGGTCGTGGAGGCCGTGGTGGCCGTGGAGGCGAAGCGGCAAGCATGAAAGGTGGAGACTACGACAAGGACTCGATACCCGGGCCAATTCTTCTTTGTCTCCACACAAGCGGCAGCTGCAGCAGGAGGTGTGGAAGGCTTTGAGGAGCCAGCAACTGTGGGAAAGGTCACCCTTCACTCTCTGGACTTTTGGGTGATCGATAGCGGCGCCACCTACAGCATGACACCTCGTGCGGACTTGCTCACCGAACTCGAACAGTCGCCGGTCAAGCATGTTACATCGGCTTTGGGGCAGCGAGCAGAGGTGAAAGGCATGGGCAAGGTCATGTTCAAGGGTGCTGATGGGAAGATGGTGGGCCTCAAGAACGTGCTTTGGGTGCCAAACCTTGCAGCCAACCTGATCTCTGTTCGGCGTTTGCAAAAGGCCGGCATGGACACATCTTCCAAGGGCTCAAATACATATACCGCGAGGCTTGGTGAGCGGAAGCTTGGGACCTTCATGAGGACAGGGACATCTACAATGAGATGTGGCAAATCCCAGTGGTCCCCATGCCTAAGGGGAGGCAAGTGGCAGCAAGCGTCAGCACCAAGATTGAAGCGATTGGTGGAGGTGATCACGGAAGCAAAGTGACACCAAGAGTGACTCGAAGGAGTGCAACCTTGGAGAGACCAGCAAGGCGTGTGAACCCAAGGAGAGTGGTGAAGCAGCCAAAGGTGGTGGAAACGAGAAAGAGAAGTCTGAGATCAGCAAAGCAGCAGCGGCGAAGGAGATAGGAGAGAGCTTGTGGGGCACAATTGCGAGTGCCGCTTTCTCCAACCCGACTTCCGCTACGGGAGAGTGTGATTGGCTGACCTTGCATCGGCGAATGGGGCATGTGGCATTGCCCATTTTGCAGCAGATAGTTAAGCAAGAGATGGTCAGTGGGATACGTGTCAAGGGGAAGCCCAATGAGGTGCTTGGCTGTCCAACATGCATGCAAGCCAAGTTCACCCGCTACCCGTTCCATAGCTCGGAGACAACGGCGAAGGCACTACTTGATGAGGTGGTGATGGATGTGGTGGGCCCCTTGAAGCTTGGAGCTGCTGGAGCTGAGTACTTCCTTACCATTGTGGACGTCTACACTCGCATGACTTGGGTGTATGTGCTGCCCAAGAAGAGTGACGTAGCTGAAACGGTGAAGACCGATTGGTTGCAGATGGTGGAGCGGCAACAAGACCGACTTGAGAAGGCGATTTGCACTGACCGTGGGGGAGAGTTCCTGAGCAAGGATTTCTCAACTTGGCTGAAGAAGCAGGGCATAAGGCACTCTCTTACCATGCCCTACTCTCCTGCAATGAACGGCATCGCCGAGCGTGCGAATCGGACACTCACGGAGACGGCTCGGGGACTTCTCATTGAAGCCGGTCTACCCAATTACTTTTGGCCGGATGCGGTGCGGCATGCTTGTGTGGCGAAGAACAGAGCCTTGACTCATGTGGGAGAAGACAAATGGGTTCCCTATGTTGAGTGGATTGGAAGGAAGGCGAAGGTGGATATGCTTCGGGTGTTCGGGTGCATGTGCATGGCACTTGTGCCTAAGAAACTTCGGCACAACAAGCTTGATGCCAAGGCAACATGGGCCGTGCACCTGGGCATGGCTCAAAACAGCAAGGGATGGCTTCTTTGGGACCCATTTACCAAGAAGTTCTTGGTGAGCAGAGATTGCAAGTTCATGGAGAACTTACCGTACAAGGAGTGGAAGGCGGAGAATCAAGCGAAGATTGGTGTGCGGCTTGGAGAGGTGAAGAGTACCGGCTTGGAGCATGTGGAGCTGCCCTTGGAGCTGAGTAGCAGCAGCACAGTCACGAGGCAATCTCCTCAAATGAATGGGGATGAGGAGGAAGAGGAGGTGCAGCAAGATGATGAGCGTGCACCGTCACTTCCGCCTTGTGCTACAAGTGCTCGTGGGAACCGACCAGATTTACCGCAACGCCATGAGAGCATTCAAGTCCCTGCAGCAGAGGAGGAAGGAAGGGGAGAAGGAGGACTGAGCCCCCTAATAGGTTGACCTATGACCGGCTTGGAGGACCAGCCAACTCAACCTTGACCGGCTCGGCTCTCATGCTAGGCGATGATGCGGAAGATGAAAGCGAGGAGTGCGCCTTTGCCTTCTTCTCTCCGGTGGAGATGCCGGGGGAGCCTACAAATCCCAAGGAGGCTTGGGAGGGCCCCAATGGGAAGGAGTGGAAGAAGGCCTCAGATGAAGAAATGGGGAGCATCATAGAGAACGACACATTTGACTTGGTGAACCTACCTCCGGGGCGGAAGGCGATCTCTTCCAAGTGGCTCTTCAAGCGCAAGACTGACGCCGACGGCAACATCGAGCACTACAAGAGCAGACTTGTAGCCAAGGGGTATGAGCAGCTAGAGAAGAAGGACTACAATGAAGTGTATGCCCCTGTGGTGAAGGGTACCACCCTTCGAACCCTCTTCGCCACGGCGGCCATCAAATGATGGGTGGTGAAGCAAATGAATATAGTAACGGCCTTCCTCAACGGCGTTTTGGAGGAAGAGACCTTCATGGAGCAGCCAGAAGGGTACAATGATGGGAGTGGCAGAGTGTGGAACCTGAAGAAAGCACTCTATGGCCTCAAGCAAGCCCCTAGGCAATGGTACATCAAGCTGCGGGAAGTCTTGGAGGCGATCGGCTTCACTCCCTCAACGGCCGATCAATCGTTGTTCATGCTTGGCGAGGGGGAGCAGAGGAGCTTCATGGTGGTTTATGTGGATGACATCCTTATATTCTCACCCTCCTCTGACCTTGTGAAGGATGTGATGCTGAAGCTTCAAGACAAGTTCAAGTGCAAGACCCTTGATGACGTCAACTACTACCTTGGGCTTCACATTGAGCGAGATGTGGAGAAGCGGTGGATGCGAGTGCATCAAAAGAAGTACTTGGAGGCCTTGGCTGCAAACTTTGGGAAGAGTGAAGGTCATGTGGCTACTCCTCTTCCCTCAGGGTTCAAGTGTGTGAAAGGACCAGTGGAGGAAAGTGTTGGTGAAGAGGAGAGGCGCCGTTTTCACTCCTTGGTGGGCAGCCTCTTGTATGCGGCCGTTCACACAAGGCCGGATGCAGCCTTTGCTACCGGGCAGCTGGCTAGGGTTGTCTTATGCCCTAATGAAGAGCAGGTAGCTGCTGGAGAGAGGGTGGCCAAGTACCTTGGCCAAACAGCAACTGTTGGACTGCAATACTCCGCGGCGGCACAAAGGCGTCAAAAGGGTGCGGATGGAGTCGAACCCGGGAGGCTCTTTCTCACCGCCTTCTCTGATGCATCTTGGGCATCAGAACCAGAGGACATGACAAGTGTGGGAGGCTTCATCTGCTGTGTTGGTGGAGGACCAACAGCTTGGGAGAGTAAGAAACAAGTGGACCAAGCATTGAGCTCGATGGAGTCCGAGTACATGGCACTCTTCCGTGCCATAAGAGAGGTTGTGTGGCAGCGGCGTTTGCTAGCTGAATTGGGGGAGGAGCAGCAAGGACCTACCCCACTCTACTGTGATAGCCAGGGTGCTATTGCATTGGCTAAGAACCCCATTCTTCATGGCCTTACCAAGCACATGAAGGTGAAGTGGTATTGGGTGAGGAGCATGGTAACCGCGGGTGAAGTGGAGTTGCACTACGTGACGACGACGGCGCAGCCAGCTGATATGATGACCAAGAGGCTGGTTGAGCAGCAGCATTGGAAGTGTTGCAAGCTTGCGGGGATGGCTCTGAACTAAAGGGAGCAGATTCTAAGGCCAACAATCCGAGGGGGAGTTTGTTGGTGCAATCCTATGGCTTGCACTCGGCTTGTCGTCCTTGTTTGTGTGTGTGCATGCATGGCATGGAATGAATTGTGAGTCTATGTCATTGCTATCCAGTCCTTGTGTGTGTGTTTGAATGGTGTGTCACTATGTGGTTTGTGTCCGTCAAGACATTAGCGAGTTTTTACAACTCGCATGTCAAGTCGTCGTTTGTGTGTCGCATGTGTTTTTTCTATTTTGTCGAGTGTGAAGTGTCCATCGTGTCGCAGGTGTGTGCAGCAAGCCCCCATCAACTCAAGAAGAATTTATCTTGCAGATCCAAGAACAAGAGCTCAAGATTTCAAGCCCAAGGGACGCGGATAAATATTAAATAGTGAAAATAGTAACGTTACTTCGTGTAGTGTTACATTTCACTTGGTGTAGCCCCTTGGAGGGTTGGTTTCGAGACTCTTCATGGTTGGGAACTCTGTGGTGGTGTACCACCAACCTGGACCTCGGCTCTTGGGGTATGCAGAGGCTGGGAACCATCTCCCTCTCGAACTCTTCTTGCTAAGTTTGTACTCCTAAGACTATAGTGGCTGCTATACCTCCTGCCAGTCAAACCGCCATAGCGTCGTCAAATCTTCATGGAACTTCATGATTCAACTTGCTGCTGATAGGCGACAGCATCGTGCTCCAGATCTGATTTACAGATCACCGTTTGATTCAGCGAGCAGATCGTTATCGATATTTGAAGCCGTCTGACGAAAATCCGACTGTGCTCTCTATCTCTCATTATAGGCACATCTAAGCCTATTGTGATTATAACAGTTATCAAGGCTCATACAGGCTACATGATGCGCTAGAGCTTGTTGTTGTTGCTGAGTAGATTGATTAGCCATCATTGCAGCAAAGTCAATTAGATCATCAATAGATAGACCAGAAGTAGGAGAATTCGTATATGAATTTCCTGTCATATCAGTACATATCACTAGCTTAAGCTAATAGCACAATCAAAGGTCAGTTTATAACGGGTTCTGATAACTTTATTTGATCAAAATACCATATTGGAGTAAACCACGCGTTTAGAATGGTCAGGATCTAGAGTTGGTGGAACCAAGGGTAGAGGTGAACGGAAGACCTTACACCTTGCAAAGGAAATCTGCGAAATAACAAGGATGATGATAATGAAAAAAAGGCATATTTATAGTCAGTAATGTACCTATTTGGAATGTACCCGTTCCTAGAGTATTGCGACTATTCACGTGACCTGTCTAGTGACTGTTCGTGTGACTGACAGTGGCGTAACCCTTCGGGTGACTACATGCATGAACCTACTGTTCATGCGTTAAATCGTTACTACTGACATCATTATGTGCGTCCTTCCATATGAGGTAACGCACTACTAGTACATCCTAACTATTTCAAGGAATGCTCAAGTGGTAACTCTGTCGAGTATATTTCAACATGCTCCAGGGAAACTTGGTGTGGCCTTCGCAATGGCGTGAGGATGATTGCGCGGGGACTAAATAGACATGTTCTTGAGCTCTAAATCCTCATGGGGGAACATGCAGGCTCGAGAGCATTCCTTCCACGCATTCGTCTTTGCTTAGCAGCAGGCCAAACGGCTTTTGAGTTTACACGAACGCAATTTCAGGTACAACTCGCATTCGGGATGACCATCAATAAGGTTTAGGATCAATAAGGTGAGACGTTTGGCCGTATAGGCCTATCCCTGCTCGTTCGTGTATCCCCGCATGGGCAGCTGTACATTGCTTTACTGGGAGTACGCTTAATGGATGCTTTGCATATGAACTGCCGGATACAACCAGTACCACAAAAAGAATGTTGTGTATCGCGGGGCTCTCTCACACGGTTCAATTTAGCGGGTCCCGGTACCACGCTCATCGGAGCTGGCATTGTACGAGGTCGTGATCGAAGAAGACGACGAAGGAGAAGGAGGAGGAGGAGAAGACCCATTGGGTGTACCTGTAGTGGAGGACAATTTTGACGACTGCGATGATGCTTAGGTCTGAAATGCATGCATGTTGGAGACGTGGTGGGGTAATGTTTGCTACGAGCTTGAGGCTTTGTATGCAAAAAAACATTCCAAATACCTGCAAAGACGTGAATTGGTTGCTAATGTGAAGCAATCATAAGAGGGCCGTATGATCTTCAAGATCGAACTGTAGATGTACAGGGCCGTAGGATCAACGCTTGCGGAAGCGTTGGGTGGTTGGGAACACAAGCAGAATGAATACAACTTAACAAATTTGATTATGACGAAGGCGGCACAGGGTTTCTATAGTGATATGAGGGAATGCGAGAGGTCTAACTACGATGCATTTCACAGGGGTAATTCCGTTTGGATTTTCAGATCCGACTCAAGTAACTGAACAAGACTCGAGTAACTACCCATGCTGTATTACAGCGTCAGTTATGTGTCCTTGGTCTTCTGCCCGTTGGGTTGTTGGTCAACAGTTAACGACCGCTGCACTTCGTAATTCAACACAACACATACTTGATAGGAGTTATAGGGTGCTTGCCTGGTGTTTACAGCTTGAATGCTGCTTTCAGGAATGTATGAAACATTTCCTCATCGTAACACTGCCCTTCATTCCTGGAGGTACTCGAGCTTGGTATGCTTGGTGATTCCACAGAGCTCGGCCTAGTGCTGGTACTGTTGTCGTGGCAGCTTCTTGGTGAGGAAGTCAGCTGCCATGTCACCGGTGGGGCAGTACTTCTGATCCACCTTGCTTGGTCAATTTTGTCCTTGACGAAGAAATATTGTAGGGTGATGCGTTTCGTGCGATTCACGAACCCGGGCTTGTTGGCGATTTTGATCGCACTCTGGTTGCACTCTGGTTGTCGCAGTGTAACTTGAAGGTTGGCGAAGTATTGAGCTTGGCCTCTTGTAGGAGTTCTTGAAGGTAGAGACCTTCGCAAACCGCAGAGCTTGCAGCGATGTACTCTACTTCAGCCGAGAAGAGAACGACCAGCTCCTGCTTCTAAGAGTTCCAGGAGATAGGTCCAGTTGGCTCCAGCCAGAAGAGAAAGCCAGTGCAAGAGCGGTAATTAGCGGGATCTGCGGTGTGGTCAACGTCAACGTAGCCTGTGAGTTTAAATGAAGGTGTAGTGATGGTGGAGTAAGTGAGGCCTATGTGGGGGGTTGAGATGAAATATAGGAGAGCTTGCTGTAGGTCAAGTAGGTTCTCCCCTTTAGGTTGCCGAGAATATTGGGCGAGCTGGCTGGCGATGCAGGAAAGGTCGGGATGACATGTGACTGCTGCAAATAGCACGCAACCGAGTTGCTACTGGTAGAGTTGGTGGGCAGCGGGAGCGAGTGTTTTGGTGTCGGGCTCGTAACTCGCGGCAGGCGTGCGGTAGGGAGTGGTGCTGGCATAAGGTTGAATTTATTTGCTAGCAACTCAGCATACTTGGACGCAGAGAGGTGGATGGCATCGGGGGTGTAGGAGATGTTAAGCTCAAGAAACTGAGTCACGCTCCTCGAGGCGCCGATATCAACACGCTCAACGAGGTTTCACTTGAACTGGTCGAGTAGGTCTCGATTGGTCCCGGTGTAGAGGATGTCGTCAACGTTGACTGTGAGGATGATGTAGTCTCCGCGGAAGTGTAGGCGGTACATCCCCCGATCATGCGGCAGCTGGTTGAAACCGATGGCGTCCAGAATTGTGACAACAGGATAGGTTTCCAAGGAGAAAGGACTATTTTTATATTTTCTCGGACACTATTAATTACCTAGAATACTTCTTTTAATGACTTGAATTATTTCATCCACACTGGTTACTTGGATTATTCTCAGTTATGATAAGTGTATGTGTTATCTAGATTATCTGTTGTATGCATCGAGTGTTCACCGTATTTCGGTGAATCCTCTAGTGCTTATAGAACAGTTGCTTCTAGAGGGAAATTGTTCCATTCTGGAACATTCACGTTTTAGCTAGACTCGCGCCTTGCTTGGAGGACCTCGCGAGTGCTCGCCTATAAATTGTGTTGTTCCTTGGGATTGTGATTCATTATTCATGATTTAGTTTACATTCTCTCACGCACTACGCATAGCGCATTCGATCATGTAACAAGAATCCCATGGAGGTGCTGCTGCCATAGACGTCATGCTTGCTTGATCCTGTAAAGGGACTTTTGGAGCTGGCACACATGTGAGTCCTGGTCGATGTAGGTGTGCAGCTGCTCAACGGAGATTAGGGTGTCAACCTTTGCGTAGAGGAATGCATTCTTGACGTAAATCTGCCGGAGCTGTGGATGCTTGCATGCAGCAATGGCGAGAAGGATGCAAACGAAGGTGTGACGGCTGACCAAAGCAAGGGTCAGGTTGGAGTCGACGCCGTAACATTAGTCGTAGCTGCGTATGACCCAGCATGCTTTGTAGCATTCAATGTCACCATTCACGACTGTCCTGACGCGACAGACCGAATTTTATGATAGAATCTTCCTCCCCTTTACTGCTTCGTGGTCGACTAGGAGCCAAGTATTCCGTAAGCAAAGGGCGGTGAGGTATGCATCAATGGCCTTGCGTCATTCTGTGCCATGAGGTCCGGCAAGAACCTGATGGGTTATTTTAGGCTCAATCACTGGGGACTTCTGTTGTATGGCTGCATGAAGGCCTTTTAGGCCAGAGAGGTCGGTGTTGTGGTGTGTGGGGTCGATGGCTTCTTGCACATCATCATCTTAGTCGGCGTTGGCACGAGGGTCTGCGAGAGTGCTGATGGTTCCCTTTTCGAGAATGGTGCGTCGAGAGAGGTTGAGTGGGGCGTCGCCATCATCATCATCATCATCGAATCGTGGGTTTTCTCCTGGGTGCTCATCAGGAGGGTCTGCGTCTGTGCGTGCAGCGGCGGCTTCGTCTTCATCGGAGACAAAGCTGTGCCCTCAGTAGTTGTAGGCGACAGCTTGGTTACAAGAGCAATCTGCGTGGAACAGCTGCAAGGTAAGCCCTTCGTAAAAGAGCACATCATGTGAGGGCACGATGATGGAGTCCTCTTGGTCGAGAATTGTCCATGACTTGTACTCATGGGAGATCCCCAGGTGTACGCCCGAGGCGCCTGCCTCTCGAACTTCCCTGTGGTAGCTTGGTGAGGGTGATACT